AAACTGCTCTATAATAACTTTCTTTCTGCCACTCAGGAATCTGAGAGGACGGTAGCACTTCATGAAAATTAGTTTGAGCTCTTCAAAACTTGCCATATAAAACAAAGGCAGTCCCAACTGCTTTAATCAAAATGATGATCAGCTTCTAAAAATGAGTTCCATCTCCCTCGAGACCACTCAGAAATAAAGTCTGATTTCATGAAGGGGAGGTGGCAGTGTGTTTGGGTTTGATTTGGTCTGTGGGTGTCCTGTCCTCTGTCCTGCTCACCCTGCCTGTTTCAGGAAGCCCTTTGGAAACCTTTGGAGTGATTTGCTGGCACTTTTTCATTTTAAAATTATTTTAAAATCATCTAAATGGATATTTGAGTGAGAAGTTATAGAAGGCTGTGCCCCTCTCTGGGGAGAAGGCCACCCTGAGCTGGAGTGGGGAGACTGGCATTGGCCAGGCCCACAGTGGGGGCCTCAGTGAGCTAGCTGGTACCCACATGCTTGTCCATATAACTTCCTTTTCTGTTTCTGTTTCTTGTTTCCTAATCAATTCTTTTTCTGGGGCAAAAAAACGAGAGGCTGCTCATTCCCCGCCACATGTTATTGTTCCTGAGAGTTCCCCTCTCCCTCCAGGAACAGTTATTTCACCATCCCCAGATGAAAAGTGATAAGTGTTTGAGATGTGTAACCATGTCTCGTTTGGGTGCCTCATAGAAGATGATGAGTGAGATGTGGCCCCTGGCTGCCCGGGAAAAATCATGATTATGGCCTCCTTGTCTTGCCTGGCACTGACTGGGGAGCTGTGGGTTGGCTGTGGGCCTGTGAGTGTGTACAGTAAGGTGGGCCAAATGTCAGGCACGTGGCATGCTCTGATACAGGGTCTGCTGAACGTTCCCTCCCAAAGGGCTGGTGGCTGTGCCCCGACCTGACCGTGTCTTCCAGTGAGTATCCCAGCCCCTCTGGAATCTGGCTGTTGGCAGAGCTGCAGTGAGATCCCTGTTAGCCAGCAGAGCATATGGTGCCTGAATAGCTGTCACTTTCAAAGCCTGGGGAGCAGATGCTGGAGTATGTTTAGATAAAGCCAGAAGAGGCCAAATGTGATAGGAAGAGCACTGAATGGGGAACCAGTGGTCTGTGCTGTCACTCATCACCATCTTTTCGTTATACATTGCTATCGATTGACTCATTGATTGTGTTTGTGTACATGGGTGTGGGGTGGGTATACATGTGTGTACTAGTGCATGTGCATTTATGCATGTGCATGTAAAGGTCAGAGGTCAACCTTGAGTATCCTTCCTTACCCATTGTCTACCCTGTTTTTTGAGATGGGGTCTCTCACCAGCCTAGAACTCATTGATTATATCAGGCTGGCTGGCCAAGGAGTCCCAGGGATTTTCCTGTCTTCCCTGTCCCAGGACTTGGATTATAAACATATGCTGGCCTGCCTGCATTTTTAACATGGTTTCTGGGGATCAAACGGAAGTTCTCATGTGTGCATGGCAAGCACTTTGCCACCCGAGCTATCTCCCCAGCCTTCATCTTCATCCCACACAGCCCATTTTGAAATCACCTCCATTGCCTCTAAATTAGAGCTATGAGCAGCGTTAAACCAGATTACCTAGTTCAGAAAACAAATTTCTACAATCTTCCTCGCTCTTTGGATTCGGAAAGACAGTTAAAGAGGAACTGTCTTGACTCCTCATCACTTGTCCTAAGATTTTTTTTTTAACCAGTAGGTACCATCCCTTATAATCCTTACCTTTCTAACCCGGTTTGAACCTTATTAACAACAGCAAAGCACCTGCTGTGTGATGAACAGAAGGTTCACCTTGTGTCAAGTACTCAGCAATACTTTCAGAATTGTCATGTGATAGTACCCATTGACAAGTGTCATCTCCCAGATAGTGTCCTGTGCTGAGGGATGTCTTTCTGTACACTGTGAATGCATGTTGTTCCCATTGGTTAATAAATAAGCTGCTTTGGCCTGTGGCAAGGCAGCTTAGAGGCAGTGGGAAATTTAAGGGGAGAGACAGGAAAGAGAAAGGTGGAGGCTGGAGAGACACCAGCCTGTCACTGAAGGAGCAAGATGCCTGCAGACCAGTAAAGCCACAGAACACGTGGCAAAACATAGATTAATAGAAATGGATTCATTTAAGATATAAGAGCTAGCTAGCAAGAAGCCTGCCATAGGCCAAGCAATTGGTAAATAATATTAAGCCTCTGAATGACTATTTTATGAGTGGCTGCAGGACCATAGGGCTGGGCAGGACTGGAGAAACATTCCAACCACAATCCTGTAGGTCGCAGGAATTTCCATTTCTCTGGATTTGGTAGGTGATATCCTGGGACCTCTGTGTTTGGGACTTACATGAATTAAATTCTAATGGCTCCATATTCTGGGTTCTGGAATGAGGCATTTCTTAAAGGTGTATGGACTTGGCAGTGATATTGACCTGGACCCCTTCCCTAACTCTGCCTCTCATTGGCCACATATCCCTGAAGAACCTCATCTGCAGAATAGGTAAAGCCATCTTGCTTTAGGGATGGTCCTATGAGCTAATTCAGGGGAAAGCATTTACTTTGCATGGGGCTTGGGATATAGTCAAGGCTACACAAACATTGCTATTCTCTCTGCTTCTGGTCCCTCTTTCTCCAAATAGTTATTGAGCCTCCATTGGGTGCTAGACAGGGTGATATGGCTGCACTACTGATTAGGACAGAATCTGTTTGGCTCCTGGATCTCACCAGTCCTCAGCTCCCAGCAAAGGGAGGGCTTCCCTTTGCTTTTCTTAAGTTGTCCTCTTTTCCCAGCTCTGTGCATTTTAGTCTTGACTTCTCAGTGCTATCCTGACAGGGCTCATAGCTTTCTCTCTTCTGCCATACCTTCCTCCTGATTCTTTCCTGAGCTGTGTTCCTCATCCACTCTGAGTTTTCTGAAAGTCTGCTCCTTGTTCCCTCTCCTCAAATAAGAACTCCCAAAGCATGCTGTCATATGTCATACAACTTTATCTCATGTAATAAGTAGGTTCTGGTGGTTTTCACCTGGATTAACAGTAAGTTGACAGCCAGACCCGAAAGTCCTACATTATCTTGCCTGTTTTGCACATGCGCTGAGTACACTCTTGAACCACGTGGGTAGATGAACGAAGGCCCTTTGTTTACAGGACTGCCCATTACAGTAGGGTTCCCATCTGTTAGTGGTTTCTTCCTCTCATGTCTCCTTGAAGTGGTTTTCCTTAGGATTTTGGCTGACAATGTAAAGTCTTTACTATTTTTTTTTCTCTTCTCTGGCTGTCCAGCTAGCCTGTCCTTTCTTCCTGCTGGGGTGACTTCTATTACTTTAACAATTTGCCTCATCCCATAACCTCATTTTTTAGGAGCTTGGGGGAAATGAGAAATCCTACAGAGCTGAGATGCCCCTAAATAAGATATTGATGATTCCAGCCCTTATTTCATCCAAGCTGGGAGAAATATGAAGCTGTCCCCCTGGAAACACATGCAGAAAGTATATTGAGTAGAAATGAAGGCAACTGCTAGGATGGATGGCAATTTTGTGCCCTAGTGATTATTTATTTATTTATTATTTGTTTGTCAGACCACTGGTTTCTGAAAGTACTTTTTCTTTCCTTTCAAAGAAAAATTACAGGGGGCAGAGGAGTCCCCACCATAGGAGGCAGCCAAGATGTACTTCATTAAAATGATAGGAGAGCTCAGAGCTGGGTAGTATACCCAGTGGGGGTTGGTGGCTCCCGCAACTTGAAGGGATGGAGGATGTGGGCTTTTAGTTTCACCTCCCTGTACCTTCTAGTAGAGGAGGCAGGAAGGACAATGTGGGTCAGGGACAGCAGTTATAATGGGTGGCCTTAGCAGTTCTGTTGTGGATCACAGGACATGGGGCCCAGCCCTTGCTGTGGGATCACATGAGATGGTTAAGGACTGACGGCTTCAGCCACCTTTTCCATTTTTGGTGGTACAAGCCACAAAAGTCCCCAAAGCTTACATTCCTTAGCTATAAAATGTGGTGTAAAATGACCACAGGCTTCTGTTGGCAGCAGTTACGGTTCTGGCAGGAAACAAGATGTGCAAATTTGGTCTTTTCAGCAAAAATTAATAAGAGTATTCATGAAAGACTGGTTTCTTCAGTGGGTAGTGCTGATTTTTCTTTTCCATTCTTTTTCCTTTTTTCTCTTCCTTTCTTTTTTTCTCTTTTCTTCTTTCCTTTCTCGCTTTCTTTTTGTTCTTTTTGAAACAGGGTTTCTCTGAGTAATCCTGGCTATTGTGGAACTAGCTCTGTAGACCAAGCTGGCCTTGAACTCACAGAGAAAGGCTTGCTTCTGTCTTTGGAGTGCTGGCATTAAAGTCGTGCACCATCACCACCTGGCTTAGTGCTGCATCTTTGAGTTAGTAACAATGAGATCACTGTTACTCTCTCTTAGGTCTAATAAAGTAGGCAGGAGATGGTCCACAAAACATAGAGACAGAGAGACAGAGGAAGGTCCCAGGACAAATGGCTTCTCCTCTAGCCTTCAGTTAATGCTGTTCACTAGGATGATAACTTGGGACCCTCCGATGCAGGTCCATGTGTGTCAACTCTGTTTTCACAGATAAATGCAGACCTTAGATCTAGGAGGGCAGTTGGAAGATACTCATTATGGAAGGGTTACTAAGATGAAATAAAACAGTATCCAGAGGTACTGGCCAGGGATTGGTGCAAAACCGGACACTCAGTAGGCCATGTTGGTTCTTATTAGCATCACTACTATCCTCATCATCCTCATCTCCATTATCACCATCATCATTATTGATGACATCTACTAAGACTGCCATGACTGAGATAACCATCTCATGGACCTACATGGGGTGGGGGGTCTGGGGGTTGGGGTTGGGGCAGGACTGGCCTCTGGCTTTCCCAGAACAGGTCAGTTCCATGTATGTCCTAAATTCAGAAAGATCTGTAGGCACCACAGAGCCCTGCCATGGTTCACTCACATTTTAATCTTTTTCTTTCCTAGGGGAGACTGCCCTGCTGAGTCCTGGCCCTCCGGAGGGACAGCTGTGCTGGTTGCTGCTGTGTTGAGAGGACCTCTCTCAGAGATGAAAGCCATGCCCTGGAACTGGACCTGCCTGTTGTCCCACCTCCTGGTGGTAGGGATGGGCTCCTCTACTCTGCTTTCACGGCAGCCACCACAGCTGTCTCAAAAGCGTTCTTTGGTCACATTCCGAGGGGAGCCCACCGAGGGCTTCAATCACCTTGTGGTGGACGAGAGGACAGGACACATTTATTTGGGGGCTGTCAACAGGATCTACAAACTCTCTAGTGACCTCAAGGTCTTGGTGACTCATCAGACAGGGCCAGACGAGGACAACCCCAAGTGTTACCCACCTCGTATTGTTCAGACCTGCAATGAGCCCTTGGCCAGCACCAATAATGTCAACAAGATGCTGCTTATAGACTACAAAGAAAACAGGCTGATTGCATGTGGGAGCTTGTACCAGGGTATCTGCAAGCTCCTCAGGCTAGAGGACCTCTTCAAGTTGGGGGAGCCTTTCCACAAGAAGGAACATTACCTCTCAGGGGTTAATGAGAGTGGCTCAGTCTTTGGGGTGATCGTCTCCTATAGCAATTTGGATGATAAACTCTTTATTGCCACCGCAGTGGATGGCAAGCCTGAATATTTTCCTACCATCTCTAGCCGGAAGCTGACTAAGAACTCCGAGGCAGATGGCATGTTTGCTTATGTTTTCCATGATGAATTTGTGGCCTCTATGATCAAGATCCCTTCAGACACCTTCACTGTTATCCCTGACTTTGACATCTACTACGTCTATGGCTTCAGCAGTGGCAACTTTGTCTACTTTTTGACCCTTCAGCCAGAGATGGTGTCTCCCCCAGGCTCCACAACGAAGGAACAGGTGTACACGTCAAAGCTTGTGAGGCTTTGCAAAGAGGACACAGCCTTCAACTCCTACGTGGAGGTGCCCATTGGCTGTGAGCGCAATGGGGTGGAATATCGCTTGCTACAGGCTGCCTACCTGTCGAAAGCTGGTGCTGTGCTGGGCCGGACCCTGGGAGTCCGTCCGGATGCTGACCTCCTCTTCACTGTCTTCTCCAAGGGCCAGAAGCGGAAGATGAAATCTCTGGATGAGTCTGCCCTGTGCATCTTCATCTTGAAACAGATCAATGACCGCATTAAGGAGCGTCTGCAGTCCTGTTACCGAGGCGAGGGGACACTGGACCTGGCCTGGCTCAAGGTGAAGGATATCCCTTGCAGCAGTGCGGTGAGTCAGAGGGGATCCTGTGGGCCTGGGCAGTTGGGTGTGGGCAGTCAGGACCCCAGCTTTGTAGCCTCCATGGAGTTTTGATAGGTCTCCATCTTGGGTATCATTGATTTGGCCTATCACCAGCCAAACATCCTTAGCATATGAAAGAGTCCATTAGAGCTAAAATGTAGGTTTCCTATTGGTGTCTTCTTTTGTTCTCCTTCTCCTTGTTTATTATGAGAAATGGGGCTGGGAATAGGTGGAAACATGTCAAGTTGATGTTTGCATTTGGGCATGGCAGAGCAGCTTAGAGAAAATGATGGAAAATTCAGGAAAGGCAAGTGTTAACATGAGAAGTCATTTTGCATTTGAGGTGGACATGGGGTTTCAGAGAATTGTGGCTTTATTTTAGCCCTTTGCATATCTTTATAAATGGCAAATGAGAGTAAAGGGAGATAGAAAGAGATCAAGCATATTTATAAAGCATCCTCTGTGTTCATAGTACCATGGAAAAGGTGTTTATCTTATAGTTAGGTTTCTATTGCTATGATCAAGACCAAAACTAAAAGCAACTTGGTGAGGAAAGGGTTTGTTTTGCTTATAGATTATAGTCTTTCAGGAAGGGAATTCAAAGCAAGAATCCTGGAGCCATTCATTTTGGGTAGTAGCTGATCTAGTCAAGCAGGTCTATGGGACTGTTAAGAATTTGGGGGATTTTGAACTATTCCTAAATGTAGGCAGTCAGTGATGAACCATATTTGTGCTGTGCTGTGTGTGTGTGTGTGTGTGTGTGTGTGTGTGTGTGTGTATGTGTTACATATTTAAACATAGATCTGTTGGGGAAGCAGTAGAAGATAAGTATAGAGAAGACTATTAGAGAACCCTCATACTTCTATAGTGGAATACCAAGACTGGGCCATCAATCATGAGCAGCAATTGATGTCACTTAGTTTTGGAGGTTGCCAAAGTCTGCAATCAAGTGTGTCTGAATTTTTTGAGGACCCACTTGCTGTATCATAACATGGCAAGAGGATGAGGGGAGGCAAGAGAAAGAGAGTGAGAGGTGATTGATCTTATCCTTAACCCACTCCCGCAATAATGCAATTAATTCAAGCCAAAAGTGGTGGTGCAAGCCTTTAACCCCAGCACCCAGGGGACAGAAGCAGGTGAATCTCTGAGTTTGAAGATAGCCTGATCTACAGAGCAAGTTCCAGGACAGCCAGGGCTACGAAGAGAAACCCTATCTTGAAAAACAAAACAAAAAAAATTAATCCACTCATTCTCAATTACTCTTTCACCCTGTTATTTGAGAAAGAACCCTTCAATCAAATCCTGACTAATTTTGCTAGCCAGCTCACTCAGGGAATTCTCCTGTCTCAGCCTTCCAAGGCTGGAGTTACAGGTGGGTGGCCACACCCACTCAGTGTTTACATGGGCTCCTGTGGATCTAAACTCAGGGTTCACACCTGTATAACGACTGCTTTGGCCACCAAACTCCTTCCCAGCCCCATCATCCCAGAACTTCTTAATACAGTTAAAATGCAAGCAAATTTAAATCTGCATCTGGCAGGAGGTGAACGTCAACCCACAGCACCTTTGTGAAATCTTCATTTTACATTTGAGTACCCCGACACACTTGAATACGTGAAACAAATGTCTCCACCAATGCATTAACACCCCCATGGGCATACATTGTTCATGTTAGAAGATGACATGGTAGTGATGCCTATTTACTACATAGATAATTCTTTTGAGATCAGAGGGTTTAGCAATCTCTGACAGTTTTCTGTAGAAACCTTGCTCAAAATTGTTTGGGGCTTTGCTTTTGGGAGTAAGAGCATCTGTAGGGATACATCTGATGGCACGAACAGGTATCTATCCTGCTCTTGCTCCTGCTGTAATACAAAAGCCAAGTTCACCATGGAGAACTGCAGAGCAGTAGGCCCTAACACTGCATGGTATCCTTGGAGAGAACAGAGGGAGGACAGCTTTGAGAGGCAGACCGATGCCAGGACTGAGAGTAATGGAGCCAGATAACAAGCTTTTGATTTTTTTTTCGTTTGGCTTTAATTAGTCCTTTCAAGTTAGAGGCAAGTTCAGGGCTTGAGAATAGAGAGGAGGAGGCCAGAAACTGCACAGGGCTAGGGCTGTCTCCCAGCCGGTTTAAAAAAGGCCGGGGCAGCTTTTCATGCACAGTATCAGTTTCTTTTGATTTGGTTGATAGCCAAGTTACTTTGCTCAGGCTCTCTTGTTACAATTCATCTGGACTCAGCTCAGACCACACATGTCCCATGCAGCACAGTGTCAGCATCAGGCCAGACTGCGACGCTGCCCCCAGTGTCAGCTGTGTTGGCATCCTGCTTTCCCTTGACCTGTCCCCTGTGCTACTGTTTCTTCCCGTCTAGAGGCAGAGAAGGGGCAAGATGAACTCTGGGATTCTCTTTTGCCTCTGAATCTGTAACATGGGAATCAAATCTCAGATGATGTCTTAGTTAGGGTTTCTAGTGCTATGGATAAATACCATTGGAGAAAAAAAGGATTTGTTTAAACTTATAGTTCCATATCACAGCCCATCACTGAGGAAAGCTGATGCAGAGACCATGGAGGAGTGTTGATTACTTGTTGGGGGTCGCCTTACCTGGACACCCCTCGGGGGAGGGAGTGAGAAGGTGCAGCATCGATGGCACAGACCCTGGGAGTCAGGTGAGAAGTAAGCAGTGGACTCATTCATTACAGATATGAGGCAAACCTATATACCTCATCCCAATTTCCCATTGGCAGCCAGAGACTCTCTTAGCTGTGTTCCCTCTTGCTCATTGGCCCCCAACATTCTGATGGTTGTGCATCACCAATCACCAGGTGCAGCAGCAGACTCCAGGTTGGCTCAGCGAGAAGTAGCTAGCACACATGCCTATGCACGTTATTCAGAACAGTGCAGCTATGGTTTTATCAGGTTAGCTGGCTGCACTCCTCCTATGACTACTGGCCTGCTCAGATGGCTTTCTCATCGCACCCAGGACCACCAGTCTGGAAGTGACACTACCCATAGCTGGCTAGGCTCTCTCATATCAATCATCAACCAAGAAAACACACCACAGACTTGTCCACAGACAAAGCTTATAGAGACATTTTCTCAGTTGAGAATTCTTCTTCCCAATCATTCTAGATTGTGTCAAATGGACATAAAACTAGCCATCACAGCTGAATTTGTCCCCATGGGTTCTATTTCCAGTGGGAAATAGCAGAAGGAGGCTAAAACTTAAGAAGTTCCTTTAAATTTTCCTTTGTTTTAGATGGTGGGGATCCTGGGGGTTTTATTGTGGTTATAACTTGGGGAGTTTCAAAGGGGATATGACCAGAGATTTGTTTTGATTACACCCTTCACTCTAATCCTGTAAATTAGAATGCTTTTCCAAAGGTACTTGTTAGTTCCATTTCCTGCGACCCATATCCCTCCCCTTGAACTCAGAGCTGAAAGTAGCCTGACCCTGAGTCACTTGCCTACCCCACGAGATCCTAGCATTCCCTCTGGCTGTGTATAGTGGCAGGTGTGTAGAGGAGGCAAAGGATGTCTGTGTGACTCAGGTTACTATGCTGTGGGGCTTTCAGGGAACTGCTTGGTGGGAAAAGTACTGAATCATGGGTCTAGAACCTTCTGACTGCAACTCTCAGGGAGCTCAGTGGTGCTTCTGCTCCCCCTGGGCCAGGAAGGCTGGCTGCATTCCCATCAGTGAGATGGCTGAAGAACCACTAGGGGTGATCGAGTGAGCAGACCGTGAACACAGAAGCACTGGCAAGCACGAATCCCTGAGCTGTGTTGGGTACCGATACTGCAGGAGCGAGTGAGGCATCTCTAGGTGTTTGTAGGATGGGAGCAGCCCCCAGCTTTGCTCTTGAGACATTCTTTTCCTGGGTCCTGATCTTCGCCAACCCAAATGGAGAAGGCATCTAGTAACAAATGCACTAGTGTCTGCACGTTACTGAGAGAATCTCATGCGGGCATAGGCATGAGAGACCTGGAAAGACCTGTCAGGTGTCTCAGACTGTGCTGGGACTCAAGGGCCTAAAGACTAGCCTGAGGCCAGTTTGCTACTAAGGCATCTAGGAGGACTAACCAATTTGGTTTAATTTCTATTCCTGTAGCTTCACACTATCCGCCTCTATCTCTGGCCCTGGCTCCTTCTGTAGCCTACTTCAAAGGTTCCCTGCATCTCCCAGTCACATATAACTCTAGGGCTATGGGGCCCATAGCCTACCATTTTTTTTCTTATGCTAGGACTCTGTGAAGGCCAGCCTTTCCCACAGAGACCTGACAGTTCTAACATGGAGTGGGCAGCCTGCTCTGGGGAGTTCACTGCTGTGAGCCAAGGATCTATGTCTTCCATGAGTCTAGGGGTTCTCTGAGATTTGGCTACCTACATTCCTTTCCCTCTTCAGCTTGTTGGGGTTCCCCACATAGCCCTAGCCTCTGCCTCTGAGTAAGCTGATGAGTGGAGAAACATCTTAAGTCCTGGGAATGTTTTAGGCAGCGGGCTGGCCAAAATCAAGGAAAGACCTCAGTCTCCAGGAATGTGGAAGGGAAGTGGATCACTATAGCCTGTAGATGGGACAAAGGTTGTGGTCCAGGGAGTGTCTATCACTCCCTTTCCTGAAGTCTGACTTTGAAACCATCTAAAGAGTGAATATGGGCACCAGGCAGCACCAGCCTAGGGCTGATGATGGGAGGCTGACACAGAATGGATGCAAATCACTTCCTCTTCTCTGTGAGCTGTGACCTCAGAGTGACCTTCCAATAGGAAGGTCCTTGGGGGCAGGAACTCTTATTTAGAGTCACTGCCTATCACCTGTGAGGCCTTCACAACTGGGACTAGGGAGTGATGGCCATCACACATTTGCATAGCTCTGTCCTGCCAGTGTGCAAGGTGCCTCACTCCCCCTTTTAATTATTCCCAGAGTCCTAGAGGGCAACAGAAGAGGTAGTCATCCTTTACAGCTCCATGGGCAGGGCAAATAGCACC